CTCTCTCTCTCTCTCTCTTTCTCATATTTCTTACATCAATAAACAAAAAAAACCCGTTAAAAATTCGTACAATTCGAAATTTCTAATGCACACGCACGCACACACACACTTTTTTTTGTTCAAGTTTTATTTTATTAATAATACTAATATTAATATGATTACAAGCCACATTTTTCTCTCTCTCTCTCTCTCTCTCTCTCTCTCTTCTCTCTTCATCTCCGCCTTTTTCATCGTCTTCTTCCTTCCGCCTCCATTCATAAATTACATAAAAACCTTCAAATGAATGTGTAATTTTTTATTTATTTGAATAGGTTCGATAATGAGATTTTATTGTTCGAAAATAATAATAATAATAATAATAATAATGCGAAGAATTATGACCGTGTATTTTGAGTCCGCACGTTTACCCTTAAACTTACTCTTTTACGCGCGCGTTATCGGTATTATTATTATTATTATTATTATTATTATTATTATTATTATTATTATTATTAATTTTATTTTCATCCATTTTTAAAACGGTTTATTAATTTGAATGACTTGAGTTTTTTTTTTCTCTCTCTCTCTCTCTCTCTTTCTTCCCCCTTCCCCTTTGCTCCCCTTTCCGTAACAAAACGCATTTAAAATCAGGTTTTTAAAAAAATGATTAGAAATCGAGATCATACCGAGGAGAAAAAAATAAAATAAAATGAAACCTGAAGCGCACGCACACGCACACGCACTCGCATCCACGAAGGATGGAAAAATAGGTACTCTCTGAGCGTTTTAACTTTTTATTTAAAATATATATACAAAAGAGTGCGTGTAATTTAATGAAAATAATAATAATAATAATAATAATAATAATGATGATGATGATAATGATAATACTCGGGGTTTTTATTTTAGTTTTATTATACTTGCCGTTATTATCATTTCTATCACTCGCGAATGCGATGTTGTTATTATTATTAATAATTTTTTAAAATTTATTCTAAGGGTGATTTGGCGATTCGCTTCGATTGGGGGATGACGGGGAAAAGAAAGGAAGTAGTGATAATAGTAGGTGGTGGTGGTGGTGGTTAAAGGGTAGGAGTTAATAATAACGCCATTTTTAAAATAATTATAATAATTAAAATTTTTTTTTTTGGTTGCGTTTGTCTTTTGTGTTGTGTTGTACGTAAATTCTCAAGTTATGAAAGAATTTTTTTTTTTTATTTGCTAAGGTCAAAGGTCGTTAATGTATTAATGATATTTTAAATAATTTCGTGTCTGAATCGTTTTTTTTTTTTTTTTGTTGATTTAAAACATCAACTTTTGCTTTTTTCTTTTTTTTGGGGGGTATAAAATTTTAAAGAAAGGCAAATTTCACAATTTTTGTGATGAATTTGTGTGTGTTTTTTAAAAATGTTGTGACTGAACATAAACATAAACATAAACATAAACATAAAATTATTATTATTATTATCAAATCCACACTACATTTAAATAGTTATCTATCTAATAACTCCTAAGTTTAAAATTTCAGCGTGATTTTTTTTTTTTTTTTGAATGAGATCATTTCTATGATTGTTTTGTTATTATTATTATTATTATTTTTTAATAAGTACTTTCTACCGTGGCAACAGGTGGCGTGGACTGATGAAGCCAAATTTTTTTTTTTTTTTAATAATTATCGGTTATAGAGAGAGAGAGAGAGAGAATAATCTAAAATCAAATACGGGATTCACACCACATATTTATATATCTACGGTGTGTCGATACACGGTTAGGTTTGGGCGTGCTAAGCACATGCCTCACGGCCTTTGTGTGTTGTTGTTGTGTTGTTATTATCATCATCATCATTATCATTATCTATAATATCAAACTTGTTATTTATCATGTTATTGTCAAAACGAGAGATTTTTGCAATTTTTTTGTTGTCGTCTTTGTCTTTGCGATTACATATTGAAAATTTATAAATAATTTATTGTTAAATTTTATAAATAAAAAATTTTTTCAAATAGAATATTTTTTAATAATATTTATTTATTTTTTTTTTAAAATGAAAATACTGGTTGATCGGAATTTTAATTTTTTTTTTTTTTTTTTTTTAAATAAAAAATGTCTCAACTTTACATGAGATTTTTTTTTTTTTTTTTAATTTCAATAAATTTATCATTATTGCCTATTCTTAATAATAATTCGATATTGAAAAACGTGTTATCCATATCCATAATTTAAATAGAAAGAGAGAGACAGGGAGGGGGTGGAAATCGTTCAATGAAAAAACGATAGAAGAATAGGTAAAAAGTTTTTGTTTAAAAAAAGGTATATATAAGTGTAGCCAAATAGAAAGAAAGAAAGAAAGAAACGAAAATTCAGTAATTAAAGGTTGTTGTTGTTGTTGTTGTTTGAGGAGGTTCTCTGTAATCTTTGGAAAATGCAAATTTTCCTTCGCACTCACTTCCATTTACTACTACTTTGCCTTTTCGAGATAATTAAACTCGTGTAATTTATGGGAAAAGCAAAGGGAGTGAGTGAGTGAGTGAGGGGGTAGGTGGGTGGGTCGCGGTGGTTGTTGGAAAGGATTTTATTCATGAGTTTTGTTTTCTGTCTCGTTGGGAAGACCTTTTTCTTGATTTATTTTAAACCTTGATTCTCGATATTCAGTTTTTGAAACTCCTTTTTTTTTTCTTTTTTTTTTTAGAAAGTTTTGCCTTTCGTTCGTTCCTTCGTTTGTTCAAATTAGATTTTTATTTATTTATTTATTTATTATTTTTGCAAATTATTATTATGTATGCCTGATATTTGTTTTTGTACGTAATGAATGAAATCATTTTAAAACAGGAGAGATTTTTTTTCTTTCCTTTTTTTTTTTTTTTTTTTTTTTGGGAGAAAAAATAAAGATTGATATAAATCATGTTTCGATTGGCAACTACTTACCAGACTTTAAAAAAAAAAAAAATGATAGGTTGAGCAGTAATAATAATAATAATAATAACCGTGCGCGGGTAACCGCTTTTAAATCCCTCCGACTAACTATTACCGTGGAAATGAGACGAGAAATAATTAGGTAGTAAAAAAAAAAATAACTATTAGGAGGTAACACGCGAAGAATATAATTGTGTGTGTGTATATATATAGTTATTAAACTAACTTTCATAATCGAAACACATACGTTCGATAAAAATCTGTCTTTGATTTTTTTTTAACTTTGTTTGATTTGTTTTGAATTGGTTGCTTCGGAAAAAAAAAAAAAAAAAACTATAATTTAATTCTCTTCTGGTTTTGAAAAAAAAAAAAATATTCTTGTCTATACATGACAGTAAAGGAGGTATGAAAGAAAAAAAAATTTTTTTTTTTTTTTCTATAATGTTAAATTTAACGTGGCAATTGTCGAGCGGACGCTGTGGGAGTCCAGTCAAAATACTCGTGCGGGAGGTCCCATCATCCGACATTTTTTTTTAAGAAATAAATTTTAAAATTATATATAACGTATTTTATTTTTTAAAAAATACGTTCTTATTACTGATAATATTGTGCAATAAGAAAAAAGAGGAGGTTGCTGGAGAAAAAATAATTATTATTATTGAGCTCATTTTAAAATATTAAATTTTCTCTGTAGAATGTAGTAAGGACCAACCAACCCTTGCGCGATTCACTCGGACGCGAAAAAAGTGAAAATTTTACCCCTTAAAAAAAAAAAAAACTTTTTGTCGACACATATGGCGGTCACGGTTTTCGTTACGGGAAATTCATATTTTTCCCCCCTAAGTTTTCCTTCCCTTTTCAAAAAAAAAAAAAAAAAAAAAAGAAAAAAGGGTAAGGAGAGTAAAAAGTCTTTGAGTTACTACAAAACGTTTTTCATCCCTTAAAAAAAATGCATTATTTTGTATTTATCATCTCCGAAAAAAACTTAAATGTAAACAAAACGTAGTATAAAATTTTTTTTTTTCTTTAATGTTTAAAAAAAAATAATAATAATAATAAAAGGACAGTTACCCCTCCCCTTCCCTCCCCTTATTCGTTGTAATAAATGTAATCAAATTGTAATATTTAAAAAAAAAATCTTGGATAAAAACAAGATGGCCAATCGGTATTTTTATTTTTTTTAAATATTATAATAAATTTAATATGAACGGCTGGAAAAAGTTTTAACGGTTTTTTTTTTTTTTTTTTTTTTTTTTTTTTTTTTTTTTTTTGGGTGGGAGAAATGATGATAAAAAAAAAAAAATAGGAAGCGATTGATTTGAGGGGATTAAATTTCGTTGGTGTATATTTTTTTTTTTTTTTTATAAAGGAAAACGTGAATTGACGTAAATTGATCATGATCTTTTCATATGTGACATTGACTGGGGGGGGGGAGAATTTCGGTGAATGAGAGAGAGAGAGGGGTGTATATGTATATATATATATATATATCGGTAAAAAAGGAAGGGGTTGAAAATCGAGAGGCGTTAAATCTGTTATAACTGACACGCACATATTTCTCTATTCTCTTGTATATGATATTTTCCTTTAATGATGTTGTGCTCTTGCACACCGGAGGGAGCAAAAAAAAAAAAAAAAAAATTAAAACTCCATGACAATGATTTTGGCAAAAAAAAAAAATAATAATAATAATAAAAATTTAAATTTTTTTTTTTTTTTTTTTTTTAATTATTGATGATGATTGAAAGTAATTTAAGTTCACTTAATTGTAATCGTTATTAATGAAGATTTATTTTGTCGTGTCAATAAATTCATATCAAATTTATTTTCAATCGAATTTTATTATATATATATTTATTTTATACTGGAAAAGTATTTTATATATATTTATTTATTTAACGAATGAATGCTGACTAAAAAGAAAAAAAGAAAGAATGAAAAAAAAAAGATTAAAATTATATTTGTGTTGTTTTTAATGTATGTTATTGACCCTTAGCGTGTGTGTGTGTGTGTGTGTTTTATTAGGCAGAGAATGGTTGATGTTGATTGACTGTGCATGAAGTTTCCGCTCCGTACTTTGTGCATGTAAACAACAAAATATAAAAAAAATGGCGAAGTTATAAGGTTCCCCTTTTTTTTTTTTTTTTGGTGTTTGAATCAATTTTTTTTTTTTTTTTTTTTTTTTTTTTAACGATCGTTCGCCTCGGTAATATTAAAACATAAAGAGAGAGAGAGAGAGAGAGAGGGAATGTTCCCGAGTCGGTATAAAAAAACAAATTAATAATATTTAAAAAAATGTATAAATTTTCGTTACAGTTTTGAGCTTAAGAAACACACAAGAAGAAGAACCGCCAGATCCGCAATTGATGAGGTTGGATAACATGTTGATTGCCGAAGGTGTTGCGGGACCCGAAAAAGGCGGTGGTGCGGGAGCCGCGGCTAGTGCCTCGGCTGCAGCCTCAGGAGGACCCGGCCAACCTGATAACGCCATCGAGCATTCGGACTACAGAGCAAAACTCGCTCAAATAAGAGCTATCTATCATCAAGAATTGGAAAAATACGAGCAGGTGAATATAAATAAATTATTATCATTATTGAATTTTTACCTTTTATTACTCAATATAAATCATCATCATTATTTTTAAAAAAAAAAAAAAAATAATAATAATAATAATAATTTGATGATTTTAAAGTTGTGTTGAGGTCCCTCGGTTTGGTTTCGATCACGTGCACAGGTTTTTCTTCTTCTTCGAAAAATGTTCAGTAGGCTTTCTCTACCTATTATTCCCATATTTCATTTCATTTCCTTTTTTTTTTTTTTTTTGAAGTCTGAAAGTTTAGAAACATCCAGAAAAAAAGTACGATAATAATAATAATAATAATAATAATAATAGGTTTTAATAAAAAAATTATTAATTGATGCCATGTGAGAAGAAAGTATAAATTATTACACCATCGTTTTAATAATTTATACCACGTTTTTTTTTTTTTTTTTTATTTATTTCGCATCTATCTATCTATCTATGTATCTATTCATCTATTTTTCATAAGGATTTTGTATTAAAAAAATAATAATAATAATAATATGAAATGAATTAAACATAACCGACTAATTCAAAAAGTTTTTTCTTTTTTTTTTTTTTTTTATGCAAATTGAATCCGTGCCAGAGAATTTTTACATAATTTTATAGGAAAATTTAACATTGAATTACACATACACAAATTATTATTAAAAAAAAAAGATAGAAAAAGATAGAAAAAAGGAAAGAATGAAAGAAAGAAAGAAGGAAAGAAAGAGAAAAGTAGTAAAACAAATGATATGTTCAGCCATTTTTGTTTTATTTAAAAAAAAAAAAAAAAAAAATATTTTTGGCTTAGAATTTTATATAAATAAAATTTACATTTCAAATCTTGATTTTTCTTTTTTTTTTTGTATTTTCGATTCTATTGAGTTTTAAGTTTACAACACACGATTCTGTGGTTTTTTTGCTGTTGGACCCTATAAAAAAAAATCAAAAAAGAAAAGTTTTTCTTATGTTTTTTTTTTTTTTTTTTCCTCAAGTCAAATTTAAAATCATTCAAGCTTACTTCACTCGATAAATTCTCATAAATTACATGGTTTTCCCGTTTCCACATTTTTCCAATAAATTACAAGAAAAGAAAAAAAAATTTAGATTTTACTAAAAGAAGAAAAAAAAAAAAAAAAAGAAAGAAAAAGAAAAAAAAAAAAAAAAAAAAAAGAAAACATAAATCTAATTTCCAAAATGTCTTTCCTTTTTGTATGCTGTATCGCCCTTATCCGCCTCTACTTTTTTTTCTTTTTTTCATCCGCCAAGTTGAAGGTTTAATATCCTGTTAGGAGGGATGCAGCAGCAGCAGCAGCAGCAAAAAAAAAAATTTTCTTTCTTTCTTTCTTTCTTTCTTTCTTTCTTTTGATATTTTCTTTTCTTTTTCTTTGTTGATTCTTTTTTATTATTATAATTTTAAATTTGCAAAATTTAACGTGTCTTATTATGATTTTTCTTTTCTTTTTCCTTTAATAAAGTTTTTAAAAATTGTGATAAAGAAGAAGCAAAAAAAAAAAAAAAAAAAAATTTATTAAATACCCCTTGAAATCATCATCATTATTATCGTTATTTTTCCCATACTTTTCCTTCACGTTTGTAAAAAAAAAGTAATGTTAAAAGATGCCGCCTTAAAGTCTCTCCTAATATTTTGGGGGGCGCCTTTTAGGCTCACTTTTAAATATTTTTTTTATCATTTGTTTAAATTTTATTATTATTATTATTATCGTATAACGATCATTGTTATTATTTATTTATTTATTTGTTTATCCACCTATTTATTTATTCATTCATTCATTCTGTGCTCTGTGTACAAAAAAACGTTTGGAAAAGGAAAAAAAAGTGGATGTGGATGTAATGCGAAAGAATCATAAACCAAATATAAAAAAAAAAAAAAAAAAAAGTAAATTAATAGTATGGTAACATAAATCATGTAATAAAAGATAATTGCACGACAAATAAAATGGCGAAGCAAAGATTGCGTTTTAACAGTTTGTGAGATGTAATTTTATTGTAACTTATTATTTTAATAATAATCAGGAGTCTATAAGATTTACGAGTTTACTAATACGACTCAACGTACGTATATCCGGTATTATTATTATTATTATTATTATTATGTATTTTTAGTTTTTTATATAATATCTCGAACCAATTACAAACCTGTAATTTTTAAATTACGGGGGAAGGGGGGGGGAAATAAAGAAAGAAAGAAGGAAAAAAATTTTTTTTTTAGTAGTAGTAAACAACGTGAGATCCGACGACGACGAGTTTATTATAATTTTTTTTTTTTATAATTTGCAGGCATGCAGCGAGTTCACGACCCACGTCATGAATTTACTCCGAGAACAATCTAGAACGAGACCCATAACTCCAAAAGAAATAGAAAGAATGGTCCAAATAATACATAAAAAGTTTTCGTCAATTCAAATGCAACTTAAACAAAGTACTTGCGAAGCTGTTATGATTCTCAGATCTAGGTTTTTAGACGCGAGGTGAGTCGTAATTAATTTTTCCTTTTTTAATTTTTTTTCCCGCCTTTTTTTGAAAAAAATTCAAAAAGGAAAGAAGGAAAGAGGGAACCCCCTTTTTTTTATTCCCAAAAACGAACCGCATTCAATGTCATTCAATTCTTTTTGTTGAAAATGTGTTGCATACGCAGAGAAATAAAAAGACGTCAGGTCTAATATTTCTTTTCTTTTTTTTTGAGGGGAGGGAAGGGGAGGGAGGATAAGGAAAAGCTTTGATGAAAAGAAAAATTTTTAAATTTACATATTGCTGATTTTTTTCTTTTTTTTTTTTTTTTTACCTACACGATTATTCGATTTCGTTTCTAGAACATTTAGATATGAGAATTTAAACTTTAGGGACATTTAAAAAAATATATTATTATTATCATTATTACGATGACAGAAGAAAGGTGATAGGTTTTTCAAAAAAAAAAAAAAAAAAAGGTTTTCTTTATAAATAAGTATATATATATATAAAAGAAAAAAAACAATTACATGAATTTAAAAAGAAAAAAAAGGGAAGGGAAGGGACGAAAAAACAAGGTAATAATTAAAATAAAGTCATGAATATAATTAAAAACAGACTTTTTATTAAAGTAATATTTAGAATTTTCTTTTTTCTTTCTATCTATCTTCTTCTTCTTCTTTATCTTCTTTTTCGTTTCATTCTGGTTCGAATCTTGTTTACATTTTTTTAATTTACATTGTTATAACATTAGGAAACATGTTCGTTGTAAACTTGCAGGCTATCTTGCATAGAAATAATAATTATTTGGTCATAAACGGTTTTAAATTTGTTGCATAAAAAATTTTCAGAATTATTATTATTATTATTATTATTATTATTAAACAAAACCTTTTGCGAAGGTTCGATGGGGTTCGGACACTAAAATGGGTTTTTTTTTCAAAAACAAATTAATTGTTTATAATCAATCACTGTTGGTGGTCTTTAAAATTTTAACTGAGTGTCTTGCGCCACAGAGAATCGTCTCGAAACAAACAACCTCGGAGGGGAGGGAGGGGAGGAGAGAGGGGGAACGTTACAAAATGTTTTTTTTTAAATTTTCGAATGTTGTTAAATTTGAGATTTTTATTATTATTATTATTATTATTGTTAGAAATATGAATAGGCTCGAGTTAATTTATTAAAAGAAAGTAAAAGGAAAAGAGTTCTACATCTACATCGGCACATCTCTCTCTCTCTCTCTCTGTTTAGATTTGAAATTTATGTTTATTGTTATTCATTCGTTAGAAAATAAATGTTACTTTTGTAATGATAAAGAAAGAGAAAGAAAATGAAAAACAATTCGAACGTATCTTGGAGTCAAAAAAACCGGAAATGCTTAAATAGTCGTCTTTTTTTTTTTAATTTGGTTAAAAATAATTTTTTCTGTTTGTTGTTCTTTTACTTTTGACGGAAATAACTGCCAAAAAAAAAAAATGTCTTATTAGGAGACGAAATTTTACTAAACGTGGAAAATTTTGCATTTATTGCAATTATTATTATTATTATTTATTTAAAAAAGGAAAGAAAAGAAAAGAACGTCATAGTTGCTTTTCTCCATAAGACTTAAAAGTAAAATTTTGCCCTAACCGAAAAAAAAGTGAAATGTTTTAAATGATGTTTTCTTGCTTATTATACTTTTGAAAATAAGGGAAGTTATGAGGAAAGGGTTTAAGAGGGAGAAATGATAAGCGAGGGGGGGTAAAAAGGGGAGAGAGAGAGAGAAAGAAAATGTATGCTTCATCAAAATGAGTTTAATTATGAATGAAAAAAAAAATTTTTTTTTTTGTTTTTTACATGTTGGAATTAAAAAAAAAAAAAAAAAAAAAAAAGTAGAATGATTGAGTGATTGAATTATGAAAATAGTGATCGAGACGGAGAGAGGGGGAAGAGGGAGGGAGAGAGAGGGGGGAAAAAGGGAAGAGGGGGAGAGAAATAAATGGGTAGTTGATATAAAAGGGATTTAATCCATGAGGAATCGAACCAAGAGGAGAGAGTTTTTCCAGCTCGTTTCTCACTTTTCTTTTATCATTTACTACCCCCTACCTACCTACCTACCCCCTGTTCACCATCTTTACTTTTTCTCCATCCCCCCCCTCTCTCTCTCTCTGTTTCCTACCACCCATCCCTTTCTCTCTCTCTCTCTCTCACATTTCCTTTCTCTTTTTCTCTTTCAGTTTTTTTTATTTTTTTATTTTTTTTTCTCCTCGTTCTTTCTTTCTTTCCTTCTTTCCTTCTCATGAAAATTTAAATAGATTTAGGGTTTCTTCGTTCTGTTGTTCATTTTGATTTACGGAATTTTATAAATTCATATCTTGAATGCTCACCGCCTCCATGTTGCTGTTGTTGTTGTTGTTCACCCCTTTCTCTTTTCCATTCATCTTTTTATTTATCTGAATTTTCTCAAGGATTTTGAAAATTTTGTTTTCCTTCTTTTTTTTTTTTTTTTTTTTTTTTTTTTTTTACACCCTTTGGTTGTATTGTTAAACACACTTTTTAACACACACACACTTTTTATTTGAATTGTTACAATAATGATAATGATGAATTTTATTACAATGATTTACGCGAAACGTGAAATTTAAAAGGAAAAATAGTAATAATAATAATAATAATAATTTTGAAATGATAAAAAAAAAAAAAAAAAACAGGAAAGTATTAGAATTGGGATTAGAAATGTCTCTCGTGTAAACTTTTTTCTTATAGTTTTTCTTCCAATTCAAACCTAACTTTTTTTTCCTTCATTTTTTTTTCTCCATATCTATCTTTTCTTGACCTTATTTTTTTTTATTAAGCTGCTAACTAAAAGAAAATTTTCCTCTTCTTTTTCTTCTTATTTTATTATTTCATGGTTTCTTTATTTTCGATTATAATAATATTTTTATTCTATTTTTCACTTGACATATTTTCTTTTTTCCTCTCGGTGGTTGGGAAGCTGGGAGGATGTGGGTGGGAGCATTATTACATAAATCATTTGAAAGGGGAAAGTTTAGTTAGTACCAATTTTTTAATATATTTTGTCACGTGATTTTGTTTTTCCGTATTTTGTAATTAAAAAAATGGGAAATCTTTAAGAATTTGGAAAAATTTACACGTCGCGAATGAGTTTTTCCGAAAATGACTTTTTCTCTTTGGAAAACCCTGTTAAATTTTACAATAAACCTTTTTTCGGAAAACATGTTTGTTGTTGTTTTACAACAAAAGTCGTCGTCGTCGTCGTCGTCATTTTTATTTGAAATTATAAAAATTTTTAAAGGTTTTACCTTTTTTTTTTTTTTTTTTTTTTTTATATTTTCGGTCCAGGGAAATTGAGCAAAATTTTCCAGCTCCATTTTTGGAACTTTTTTTCTTTTTTTTTTTTTTTTTTCTTATTTTATCCCGCTCGTATTTCATCTCATTTTTCTTTCCAAATAATTTTTTTCTTTCCTCCTCCTCCTCCTTTTTCTTTATTTGCTAAAAGTCGTCAAAATTATTCGATTAAAAAAAAAAAAAAAAAGGAAAAAAGGAAAAAAAAATTTTCTTCCTTTTTTTTCTTTCCTTTTTTTTCCTTTTTTTTTTAAAAAAAATTTCTTTAAATAGTTACAGTTAAAATCTAAAAAAAAAAAAAAGAAATGTTGACGGGTTTCTCTCGTATAAAAATTCATTTTGAATCTTCTCTTCCGAAATCTATTTTCTGTTTCTCGAAAACTCAGCTCTCTCTCTTTCTCTCTCTCTCGCTTTCTTTCTCTTTCCTTCCGCCTCCTCATCCGCTCTCTCCGTCTCATTTTCTCTCATCTCTCCTTTCCTTCTTCCTCCCCTCCCCCCCCCTTTTCGCCTTCTGTCGGATCAATGACGTAGGCTCCCCGTATCCATTTGCTACATTGTGCAGGGTGGACAGTGCCGGTTCTCGCTTACAGTTTTTATATTTTATTTTATTTTATTCCGTTCTTTTCCGTTTTTTCCTTTTCCTTTTTTTCCTTTGTGTCGTACAACTATTTATTTATTTATTTATTTATTTATTTTGTGATAGTACTGTGCGGATATTTTTTTTTTTGTAATAAATTTTCCATCCGAAAAAATTTTTCTTCTTACTTTTAGAAAAAAACTTTTGAAGGTGAAAAAATGGAAAATTTAAATAAAATAAAAAAAGCGGTTGTTGTTGTTGTTGTTGTTTCATATGAACGACATAAAAATATTTGATGACGTGTATAAGTGAATAAATATTATTATTATTATTTTATTACTTTAAAACTAGTTGTTCTTTTTCGGACAACAATTGTATATATTTTTCACATGCTGTTTTAATATAATCGATAAAAATTATAATAAAAAAAAAAAAAAGAAGTCGTTTACCTAGTGTTGTTATTTAAATAAATAAATAAAAAAAAATGTGGGAGAGAGAGAGAGAGAGAAAGAAAGAAAGAAAAAAAAAATAAAAACTAATAATTTCGGTCGTAATAGTAAAAACAACAACAATAATAATAGTAATGATATCGATGATAATAATAAAGATAATGATAATAATAGTGATTTACATGTCGTTAATTCGACGAGAATTTATTAATTTATTTTCTTCGGTGTTAAATCGTAAAACTTTTCAGTGATCCAATAAAAAAAAAAAAAAAAAAAAAAAAAGAGAAAAGAAAAAAGAGGCCATTAGAAATATTAAGTTAGAAAGAAAAAGAGAAAACAATAATGATAATAATAAAATTAGCCTTATTCCGTCACTGTTTAACTGTTCTCACACTCCTGCTCCTGCTTTTCCCTCATTCCCTAAAGTTCTTGGTTTTATTACGAAATTCCAGCAAGGGTGGAATGTGCGTTTCGACGTCGCTATGTTCTCCATTCCTCCTTGTGCACAAGCACCCAAAAATAAATCAAATATTTTGATAGGAAACAGCTTTTCCATTTCTTTTCAGTGTTTAATTATTTTTTCCTCCTACCCTCTCCTTCCCCACATCGTATAGCGCGCACATCTCCCTCCTCTCCCCTCCCCCCCCCTCTCTCTCTCTCTCTCGCTCTCTCTCTCTCGCGGCGAGATCCTCTTCCATGTGGAATAATTTCAGCAAATGTTTTTTTTTTCGTTTTCCCGCTGCCCAGATTCATTTTTCTTTAAACCATGTGGATTTTCTTTTTTTGCAACAACGATTGTGTGTGCCTGGACCCTATACCTTAAACCTCCGCGTTCTATAAGAAACAATGAGAATCGTTTTAGGTTTTTTTTTTTTTTTAACCTTTGACCTGATTAATAAAAAATGATGATGATGATGATGATAATATGACGTTTTTTTTTTTTTTTTTTTTTTTTTTGTTAAAACAGGAGAAAACGACGCAATTTTTCTAAGCAAGCGTCGGAAATATTAAATGAATATTTCTACTCACATTTAAGCAACCCTTACCCTTCGGAAGAAGCTAAAGAAGAATTAGCAAGGAAGTGTGGCATTACTGTATCGCAGGTAAATGTTTTTTTTTTTTTTTTTTGTTATCATCATCCGCGAGAAAATGGCGGGTTTTTGGCGGGAGACGGAAATGTGTGTACCGCCATTACGAATACACGTTCCAATTAGAGAAATGCATCTTTTTTGATTTATTGATTTTATTTTTAATTAGGTTTCAAATTGGTTCGGAAATAAACGGATAAGGTACAAGAAAAATATAGGAAAAGCTCAAGAAGAAGCAAATCTTTATGCTGCCAAGAAAGCTGCTGGTATGTATTCGTAAAAAAAAATTTTTTTAAATGACGTCACTTGTCGTTTTATTTTGTTAAATTGTGAGAAAGGAAAAAGGAAAGGTGATTCGATGGTAGCTAGCTTTAGTAGTAGTGGTAGTAGTAGTAGAGGTATTCATAGAGTAGAAGGGAAAGATAGAGAGGGATAGGGTATTTTAGAAGAAGAAGAAGGAAAAAAAAAAGTTTTGTGTTGTTATCTTTGAAAAGAAAAAGTTTTCTTGGATGGAATAAGGAAAAGAAAACGTTTTATCTCGAAAACCATTTTTCCTTTTTTTTCTTTTTCTCTTTTTTTTTTTTCTTTTTTTCTTTTTTTTTTTTTTTTAAATGTTCATTTCTTTTCATTTCCTTCGCAAAGCGTCGACAAAGTTTTTCTGCTCTTTCTTCTGTTACAGTTTTAATACTTTTCGGCTAGACTGTAACCGAACTCTATTCTTTTTATGAGAATATTTTTTTTTTTTCTTCTCCTTGTTTGAAAATATATACAGTTTCAAAAATAAAAAAAGAAAACTGGAAAAGTTTTCTTTGTCGTAGTTTTTTCTTTTTTCTCTTTTTTTTTTCTTATTGTTTTTATTAAATAAAAAAAAAAAAAAAAAAAAAAAAATGAAGATGTTTTAGTTTTAGCTTTAGCTTTATGCGATAGACTACTTTTAAATTTTTTTTAAATTTTTTTTTTTTTTTTTGGTCGTTTACATGCAGTTTGCGAATTAAGGCGTCAGAATTTGTCGCCAAAATGGCGCGCCCTGCAAATTCTATTCCATGTGAAAAAAAAAAAAAAAAATTTTTCTTTTCTTTTCTTTTCTTTTTGGCAAAAGATTAGTTTTTAGAATTTTTTTTTTTTTTCGTAAAATATATTATTATTATTATAATATTCGATCGAATGAGTATAAAAATAATAATAATAATAATAATAATAATTTTTTTTTTGTCTTGTAGGTGCTTCACCTTACAGTATGGGACCTGCCTCTCAAGGTACTCCGACTCCCATGATGTCTCCCGCACCTCCTGGTGGCCAGGATTCAATGGGTTATAATATGAACCTTAATGGAGGAGATTATAGTTCTTCCATGAGCAGTTCGCAGCCTCCGTATTCCGACGGAGGTTTAGGATATGATCCGATGCATCAGTAAGGTATGAAATTGTTTTTTTATTGTCATCGTTGTCGTTCTCACTCTTATTATTATTATTATTATTATTATTATTATTATTATTATTACATTTTTTTTTTTTTTTTTTTAATTAAAAGAAATTAAAAATCTGGATACTGGTAGATGATAAATTAAAAAACGGTAAAAGTCAAGGTTAACCAGTAACCATTTGAAGCGGACGAAACCGAAGAATCGTTTGCTATAAGTGAGGTCGAAGAAGAAGAAGAAGAAAAAAAATAAATAAATTTCTTTACAAAAGTTAACTCTTTTGTGTTTCTTTTTTTTTTCTTTTTCTTCTTTTACTTCATTATATTTAGTAGGTTCGATGATTTAAAAAAAAAAAAAAAAAAAAAAAATTTTTTTTGTTGTTGAATAACATGATTACCATTACCCAACATTACGTTGCTTAAATGGCGATAATAAAAAAGTAGGATGAGGAGGAGGGGGAGGGAAGAGGGACGGGAAACACACGCACGTAGGAGAGGGAAAGAGATGGAAAAAAAAGTTGTCATACTTTATCTTT